CCAGTCTGGCATGAACGGCTCGAATAGTTCCTGCAGTGTTGCCAACTGCTTTCAATTGAAAGTAGCTAAAACTGGTTGCTAAATGTCACTAGATGACATCACAATGGCAAATTCACTGATCTATATAAAGATGAACGTAGATCAGTGCGCAAGATGAGAACTTAAGATAAGGTTTGTCCAAGAAGTTGCTATATTTGTCCCTAAACTTTTGAAAAAAGTCTCAAAAGGGGCAGGGAAGTCGCTAAATCTAGCTACAAAGTAGCTAAATTGGCAACACTGAGTTCCTGTATCAAATGAAAGCCCGCCTTCTGAAATACGAAATGTGCTGTGATTGGTTAGCTGGGCCAGTGTGTGTTGTGATTGGTTAGCTGGGCCAGTGTGTGTTGTGATTGGTTAGCTGGGCCAGTGTGTTTTGTGATTGGCAGCACTTGGCGCCTGGTCGGGAAATGTCATGCCCCTTACCATAGCCGCCTGCGAGCTTCAGTGTAAATATTGCGTCAAAATCAAATCAATTTGAGCGCGATTTAAACCCAGATGATTGTAAACACTCTAAGTTCGTCTGCCTTGGGAAAGCTAGCGTGTCTCCGACATAGTGATAACACTTGTTGCCTTCTCTAGTGCAGCTCAACCAGGTCTCGTCCCATTCGTCGATAATTGTGATATCACAAATCCCGGAAAATATGTGTTGTAATCCAAACGAGTCGCTCGTTGTAGTTTTTGAAAAAAGTGATTACTGTTAAATAAAATATTTCCTTTTGAAGTGGACTTTGAACTTTGGAGATCGTTTTTATGCTCAAACAGCAACATTACAGACTAATTGAAGTAGAAAAAGCATAATAGGACCCCTTTAAAATAACACAACACAAATGAAGATGACATACCTCTGGTGATGGTTGCTTTGCGCTGAAATTGTTCCGTGGAGAGTAAAGATCCTAACAAATGAGAGTGAAAAGGAAAGATGATTCAGTAAAGACACTTAAAACAAAAAAAGCCACGCACACAAGACTTGAGTTGGACGAGAGGAAACACTTTACACACCGCCAGGAGTCAAACATCAAATCAAGAAACATTAAACAATCAAGTGACATATGAATGACGCACATTAGTGTCCCTGTGAGATGAACTCCTGGATTCGACGACACCATATGAGTGACTCATGAACAAAAACAAACTCCCAAAGGAACAAAATGTCCAACGGGAAGACCAAGGACTGGATGACGGGGGAACCACGACATGCTCACAACCTTGATGAGCATTTGTCCTACCTGTGGGGGTTCCAGTACAGCCAGGGAGTGTGGCACAGCTGCGAAGGCCTTATATACCTGCTTGATATTGATGGGGTATTCCTCATGTGTGTCAGGGGATGGGGCACTAGGCTGTACGAGGGGTCGGGGAGGTTGAGGACAGAGGGGTGGAAGGGTAGAGAAACAGACAAAGGACAAAAAGGATGGAACAGCTAATGAGAGACAGAGCAGCAAAGGCAGAGCACAGGAGGAAAATGCAGGGCTAGACCGCATGCAGCTCGCGATCGGGATCATGCCAATGAAAGGATGGAGGGAGAGTTTGACAGTATGAGGGAGGTCTGTGGTTATGGTGACTGGGGAAAATGACTCTGGATGATATTTTGGTTTACACTGGTATCCTGAGATAACGTGAGTGTAAACCTTGCTGTGCAAACAATGTGGTTTATGTGATTAGAGGAAGAAAAAAAAATCCAAAAGAGGTGTCTTGATAGAAAACGGGCACAATGTTACTTGCAGTGAGAAGTTGATAAGTCTGTGTTTTCCAAAACAACCCGTTTCTTTGACCTGGATTATGGTGTGACTGTTTGTAAGGCTCAACAGGCACAATGCTAATCACACCTTGAAATGTATATGGACAAAATAAAACAACAGTCGCATTCTGTTGGCCTTAAGGCACTGGTAACTGAGGATGAAGGGGGGCCTCATTAGGGTTCAGACAGTGGTGAGGGATCTTACAGTGGTCTGAGAGCTGATGGGAGAGAGGCCATGCTGGAAAGGGTTGGGACTGCTGTGGCCATCCTGACTGGCTGGAGATACAGGGGGTCGCCCCCGAGAGAGAGGCTGGATGGCACCAGGTTTAGTCTAGAAAGAGAGAAAAACTTAAATTGACAATAAATCCAACTATCAACCACAAATTATACAGTATTTCCAAGTTTAACATAATATGGCTATTAGTGTCATTCACATCAATATTACCATGAACTTGCTCTAGTATAATTTACAAGTTATCTGCATACTGAACACTCACTGATGTATTATCCTTGGTGTTTGCATTTGAAGGGAAATGAATGTTTGACTGAAAGAAAAAAAGACAAATATGAACATGATATAAAATTAAGTGGAAGAAAGAACATTTTTACACATGGGATTGGCTTTCTGAAATCAAGTAACTTGGGCTCACATTAAATTATATTATCGTTCAAAAGCTTGGGGTTAGTACGATTTTCTTTTAAAAGAAATTAATACTTTTATTCAGCAAGGACGTATTAAATTGATGAAAAGTTACAGTAAAGACTGTCATTTTAGTTGAACTTTCTATTCGTCAAAGAATCCTGGAAAAAAAAAGTATCAGTTTCCTCAAAAACTATTTACAATTATGATTTCTGAAGGATCATGTGACACTGAAGACTGGAATAATGGCTGGTGAAAATTCAATTAATTATATTCAATTAATGTTAAATTGTTATAATGTTTCACAATACTACAGATTGTTCAGCATTTTTGATCAAACAAATTCAGCCTTGGTGAGCATACGAGACCTCTTTCAAATACATAAAAAAAAAACCTAATTACCCAAAACTTTTGAACGGTAACGTATATTATGTTATATTTACTACATACCATGATTGACAAGGCCTTAATACACAATGTTAATCTACCAAGCTGTAGTTACACGCTCAATTGCTTGCAGGGTTCCCACTCTTTCATGAACACCAGATTCAAGGACTTTCAAGGACTTTTTTCAAGGACACCATTTATTTTATATCAAGCACCTATCAAATTCACACCCCAGCATATGTAGTGTCATGAAAGACCTTACAGTACTTAACATTTCACTTACACTTAACATTTACATTAAAAATTTCAGAGTAATAATGTTTTGAATGTGTAGGTTTCATAAATTTAGACCGTTTTGAGCAGTCGTGTTCAAAGGAATTTAATGAAATCCATTGAAGTCAGTACTGGTAATATTCAAATTAAATTTCTAAAATATTGATAAAATATGCATCAAACTGATTTTTGCATTAGTTCTTGTACAAGATTTAAATCTGAAAGAATTTCTCAATTTTGAAATTAATAAAAAGTGGTTAAATGTTGTAATAACATGGTAAAAGCTGATGACATTACAAATTTGCACATTCACTCAAAAGATACGTTACTCATTAATAAATAAACTCAAGTCAAAATAATTTTGTAAATTACTTTATTGTAAATCCCATTTTTTCATCTTTGACCTAGAGGAATGCAGCTCAAACATGCAGCTGCTCAAAAAGTCAGTATTTTTTGAAAATATTTCATGAACATTTTAAACCTTGTACATGCGCAAATCCGCAAAAAAAATATAAAGAAAATAAATAAAAAAATAGGACTTTCTATTTGCTTTTAAACTGTAAACGCTTTTCACTAAGCTGTTTTTCCATTTTTTCAAGT